ACAATTTTCATACCAAGAATTTGCTTTGCCGGTCCCAAATCGTTCATAGCAAAAGATTTACTCAAGTCTAACTTCAACTTGCTAATCATGGTAGAAGCTTGACCCACAATTAACATGTCATCAACATAGAGCAAAAGAATAATAAATTTACCATCCGAAATTTTTTTCACAAACACACAATGGTCCGAAGTGGTTTTAGAAAAACCATTATTCATCATGAAAGAGTCAAATTTTTTGTACCATTGCCGCGGGGCTTGCTTGAGGCCATACAAACTTTTCTTCAATTTGCAAACAAATTTCTCTTTTCCTTTTTCCACAAATCCTTCCGGTTGCTCCATGTAAATTTCTTCTTCAAGATCACCATGCAGAAATGCGGTCTTCACATCAAGTTGCTCAACTTCAAGGTTCATACTTGCAGCCATGCCAAGTACAACCTGAATAGAAGACATCTTTACAACCGGCGAGAAAATCTCGTCAAAATCAATACCTTTCTTTTGCCCAAAGCCTTTCACTACAAGACGTGCTTTGTACCTCAGATTCTTGCCATCATTCTTCAATTTGAAGACCCACTTATTTTTCAGAATTTTCCTCCCCTTAGGCAACTTTACTAAGTCATAGGTCTGGTTTTCAAGCAAGGAATTCATCTCCTCGCTCATGGCCTTTTTCCAATCACCTTTCTTTACATGCTCAATTGCTTCTTGGTAGCTCTCAGGCTCCCCTTGATCAGAAATCAACACAAATTCATTAAGAGGATACTTTCTTGAAGGTTGTCGGTCCCTTGTAGATTTCCTCAACTCAAGTTGTGGTGGTGGTTCTTGAGTTGGATGCTCTTCCTCAATTTCTGGCTCAACTTCATTAGGATTAGCATCATCCTCCCTAGGACTTGCGATTACGGCTTTGTTGCTAGGTTGTAAACAGAAAACTTTTTGAAGGGTCTTTATTCTTTTAAGAGTTTTCCCAACTTTGTTATCCTGATTTAGAGCCACAATACATTGAAAACAAAGATAATAAATAAATCAATGTAAAGGCTGGTTAACACATTCAGTATACCGCATCTACTTATTGAAACCAGATTACAGACTGCTAGAATTTAAAAGTGAAGATTTAAGCACAAATACTCTTAACACAAGCTAACTCAGATTAATCATATGGAACAAAAGAATTGAGACAAATTACCTGCAAGGCCCTCCCATACATCCGACGTTTCCGAAGGTTGAGCATGGCCAAGGCTATCTCAGGTCGATTCAAGTCATTTCCCTCCTCAACCCACTTATCCAAAGCACTTTGAACAGACAAACTTGGAGCAGCCATGATAGCCTTGAACAATGCCGAAGAAGCTCTCATTTGTGGAGGTCTTTTCTCAGTTACTTCTGCCTCAGTATCAAATAATTCCAGCTCATTTTGAGGTTCTTCTACACCATCACCATCATCTTCTTCTTCAGAGAGCTCTGGTTCGGAAATCAATTGATCTTCGTTTAAATCGTCAACATTGCTGTCTTGAACCACATCAGCAGCACTAGCTGCAGTCTCAAGCTCAGAAAACCCATCCTCCAAATCATCTTCTTCTTGTGCACTGCTTTTTGTGTCAGCCTGTGAAGAAAAACGGCAACACCCCATAAAAAAATTTGGGGAACCATGTGCTGCACTGTAAAATCTCTTCAAAGAGATGCATCCATCAGATGCTACTAGGCGAGAATCAACATTACTGGCTTTGACATCTAAACAACAACTTGCTACTTCTGATTTAGCACAACAAGCTCTAGAAGTTCCGATGCCAAGCACTCGATTCCTAAATGCAGTCAATGAAAGCAATTATGAAACCAAAACATGAATCAGTAATAGGCATGCAACCAATATTCAAAATTGCATTAATTTATTGTTTGTAAATTATATGTACGTGTCATATCCATTCCTTTTTGTCTCTTTTTCAAGAGACTATCCACATAAATGCCTCACCAAGAAAAACAACAAATTACCTATTACTTCGACAAAATATATAAATTTGGTTAATATAATTATCCATGAAAAGCGTTAAAAAGGGTGCAACCTTTATTGAGCAAATCAGCAGTTAAATTGAATGCATTAAATGCAGATCAATTTCAATCATCCATTGCACTATTACTTCGACAAAATCATGTTAGTAACACACTGAAATCACTCACCCACGGAAGGTAAGCTGCTGTAAAAGTAAAGAGACCCAAGAAACTCATGTGGATAAAAAGATTTTGCTTGCTCCAAACATCGACCTGTAAAATGGGGCAAAATGTAACAAGCTTTCCAAAACAGTTAACGCATAAAGGGTTTATCAATTAGAAATGTTTTATATGTAAACAGAGAAACACTAACCATCATGAATGTCAATGAATTGCTCAAAAATTTTATATGTTGTTAGAATCGAGAACCGATGGAAAGTAATGGTTGTGGGGGATTGTTGTAGTTGGAAACCAAGGTTGGTAAACTGCAGCTGATGAAGTAGCGATGGTTGAAGTAGCAAATCCTGATGATGCTGTAGTAGAGAAGAGTGGCAGTGGAAAGTCACCACCAAATGGGCCTTGGAATTGCAATGCCCAGCTCGGTGAAGAATCAAATTCCATACTATTCTCTATTGCTCTTCCCTGTTGACGGCAAAAAATAAAATAAAATAATGGAATTGTTAATCAACTTGTGAAAAATCAATATTCATAGTAAATAATAACAAAGATGGCCAATAAATCATATGGAGCTCCATGGGATGAAAATAGACGCATGGTCGCATTAAACTAGCCCCAAAAGTTTCATAACAACAAAAGGGAAAACCCCTAACTTCTATTCTATCAGCTTCAAAACTGGTGATTGCTGATCAGTAGTCATTACAGGAAAGATGATGGATTGTAGCCAAATGATCTAGCTTTTTCAATAAGTTAGAAGAGAGGTGTTAAGCGATAATGTTTTCCCAGCAACAAAAGCCAGCTAATGATTCTATAGTCCAACCAAAACTTCCAATATGTGATCAAATGATCATTTAGTCTAAACTCTAAATGCAAGAGCAGAGAAAGTTGTTGCTAATGCAGTAATAGCAAGAAATAAATTGGATAGTTGGATAGAGTAAAATTACCTCACAGATGGGAACGACATGGGAATTTACACCTTTCCAGAGAGAAGGGTGCTCAGAAACCATTATTTGGCCATGGGGTAGTTGAATTCCCATTGTTGTAACGGAGTTCTCAGCCTGTAAGAGGAAAAGATAAATCTGCTACATAAACTCACGTAAGACCTTCCAAAATTCGAACATAGCATGTATACAGAATGATCACTGGTTTGACTAATCCAATTATAGAACAAAACCGGACAGACTAAAATCTTAATATACGGCTTTTAAAATTACCCTTCTGTTCTCATGCATATTGCTCAAGTCACTCTGCAAATGTAAACCACTGCTCAAGTCATTGCTTCCCATTTGGCCATTAGCAAAATAAGGGGTAGAAATACCCAAGTTGAGGTCTAGATTATGGCTGCTTCCTGCATAGAAAAGATTAGAGATTTCATCATCTCATGATTCATAAAGAAGGATAGCTAAATATATGCAACCGTAAATGAAGGGAAGTTTCAAGAATCATAAAACAACACAAAAAATTAAACAAGTGATACCTCGATTCTCAATCTCAGAGCTTAACTCCTCTTCATATGTGCTTGCCTCAAAGTTGGTCACTGCTTCCCTTCCATTGCATTTTATTGCAGCCTTGTCATAAGCCCTAATTAACATAAAGTTAAATTGGATCGGATGGAGAATAGATAATATAATATAACATATAGAGAAAGGAAAAGTAAAATTTTAATCATTATGACCTTGCAGCTTCCACCTCCCTGTTGAACAACCCAAGATAGATATTATACCTGTAGGCAATGTGTTGGATACAAACCAATGAAGACCATTTTCACAGTTCATTAATAATATAAGTTAATAAAATTGATACAGAATTTGGGAGATCACACAGAATTTTGAGTCACATCTGACAAGAAAATGTAAAAAATCAGTTTAGTGTTGTCTCACTTCTTGCCAAGGAACTGCCCCATTCGAGCTTCCCATCGTCCGCATTTGTGCAGTAGAATCCGGCACTCTGGCGACGAAGTACATGCACGAATTCTTCCTTCGTCAAATTCTTCATCTGCATAAAGATCAAAACCAGATAAATACAATTACATTCCGATAAAACGTGACTCCTCGATACTGAGAGCTCCGAGATCTCGGTCCCCTCCTACTCTTCCTCACCTGCTGTCTTTGCTGTGGCACCACCAAACCCCTCTCCTCTTTCGGACTATAAAAATATATATATATATAGAAATGCTAAACGGACTATAAATATATATATATATATATAGAAATGCTAAACGGACCTTATCAACCCCAATCAAGGCATTCCCTTCCATCTCCTTTGATGAGGCCTTCGGTGAAGAACTGACCATGCTAAGTCCACCCTCTTTATCTGCGAACAGTTGTAACAATCTTTGATAATCTTTGACCATATCGCCTTACAAGAGATTCAAAGACTTCATATTCTTAAGAAATGCCAATGAAGAACTTCCACTAGACAATCACATTACCCAGCAATGTAACAACCAAAAACCTCCACATATTAGTCCTTTCTAGTAATTCTCCAAATCAAGACTACATGTACCTCTACAACACATGAATGAACTTTCACTTTACAAGTTTAAGTCAAGATATAACCTATTTTACATTGAATCAAAATAGGTTAGGTCTTGTGAATATAAACTAATTGGGCACCTTTCTTTTGCAAGTTGATTTTTAGGGTGAGTTTTACTCCAAGGGTTCATATTACTGAACCAATGTTCCAAATCTAATTCACTCATTTCAAATTTTGTATCTTTTTCCCCCCAAATACCAAGCATTGCCATTATACAACATTCAATTTTTCACCAATTCATGACATTCTATAAAACATTTTCCCTTTGTTATCAACTTCTATAGTTTTCTAATGCACATTCCTCTGTTTTTTCCCTGTTTTTGCTTTCCCACTATTGTGATTTTTACATAAGAATCAGTCTACAAACACAGGAGAAATTCACAGAAACAGACACAGAAAGCAAATTGTCCCATTGGTCACACAGCAATTGACTGTTTTTTTTTTTTTCTTCTTTTTTTCTTCCTCATAAGTATGCCCTACTATCTGACCTGTTACACCACCATATTTTTTGTGTGAGTCCTACAAACATACATGTAAGTAGATAACAACGTTGATAAATTAGGCATTATTATTATTTACTTATTTATTTCCAGATTGAGAAGCTAGTATTGAGTGAATGAGAATGATGATCACCTGGAGAAGCTACAAACATACGTGTACAGAGCTCACTGCTCCTCGAAAGTGAGGTTCATCAATATCTGCATCACAGAAATGCCACCAAAATAATTCCTCATGTTTATTGATTGAATCTGAATGTAAAAATATATCCACAAGCAAATCAGCATTCTAGTACACAAACTTACCTGGTCCAAAATCATCTCAACCGATAAACTTTGTGATGCAACAAATGACTGATGATAGATGTATGCGAAAACAGCCATCACCATCTGCATGAACAGAGTCAGATTAAGCACTAACGTATGAACATTATATCTTTTTAATAAAGGACTAAGGTTAGATACTCACCCTAGGTAGATCAATTCTTAGAGAGAAGCCAGGTTTAGAGAGAGAGAGAGAGAGAGAGAGAGAGACTCTCAATGGGCGGTTTTTAAAAGTTAAGAAAGAAAAGTAGGTCAAAAAATGATCCAAAAAGTGAAATCTCGGACTGATGTAGTCGACTCTCCGCTCGAGCGTCCAAACTCCCGCTCGAGCGTTGAATACGCACTCCCAGTACTTTTGCAGAACTAGGTCCCCGCTCGAGCGACCAACTCCCCGCTCGAGCGGCACTCACACATTTCCGCTCGAGCGTCTAATCCCAAGCTCGAGCGTCCAACACTGCACAGGAAATACTGGATGGGTGATAATCCCGCTGGAGCACCAAAACCCCCGCTCGAGCGGACAAGTAACAAAAGAATCCCCGCTCGAGCGTCAAACTCCCGCTCGAGCGGACAGGTCAAAATCTGGGCAACTAGTTTTGGCATCTAAACTCAACCGACCTGTAACAAACCTGCCCAACACATCCTATAACTCAAATACAAAGAGATTAAAGGACGACAACAACCAATATATAATGACAGGATCCACGGAACCTAAGTCCGGATACAATAATCTAGAGGGAAAAGACCGGGGTCACTATAACCTCCCCTCCTTAAAAGAATTTCGTCCCCGAAATTAAGCATAAGGTTTTGAAAACAAGTTTTTCTCAAATTCCAACAATAAGATAACTCAAAATAAACAACTTGACCCAACACCGGCCATTTCATCTCTTATCAAGAGGCATTTCACAATATGTAAAATAACATATATTTTCACCTGCATTAACACTATGCAATTTTCTTTCAATTTCAACAATTTTCAATATATTCAACATATGCAATGTTCCATTAAACTTCCATTTCGAGACAAGTTCCAACATATTTCCATTAACCAAAACATTCTCAATGTTTTACAGCTTAGGACATATATAAAGCTCTAAAGTTCAACAATATGACAAAATCTAAATACAAAATTACAAATCGATAAACATGTCCGGATATTTCTCGCGGACTTCTAACTCACGTTCTCAAGTGGCTTCCTCCACCCCGTGATATTTCCACAAAACTTTTACCAAAGGAATGGTCTTGCCTCGCAAGACTTGACCCCGCCTATCCAAGACCCGGACCGGTCTCTCCTCATACAAGGCATCCTCATCTACCTCTAAATCGGTCCAATCCAATACATGTGATGGATCTGGCTCATACTTCCGAAGCATACTCACATGAAACACGTCATGAACTCCGGACAACTGCGGCGGTAAAGCTAACCGATAAGCAACCTCGCCAATCCTCTCAAGAATATCAAAAGGACCAATAAACCGAGCGGATAACTTCCCACTCTTCCATATGGCCATCGAGGCAACACCTCGGTGA